AACACAGATAAAATTGCATGCTTGTCTCCAAAATAACAAGGAATTTTGGGAAACGAAAAGAATGTAACAAATGAGTTCCAGAATAAAAAGAAAAATTATTAGGTCTCTGAAAATCTGAACTTAGTTATGGCCAGAGAATGCACTTGTAAACTTATACACTTCTCAGAAATGGATGTACTTGTCAAAAAGTGTCTTGTGAAGTTTTGCATCACTTGCTGCAGTGTAAAGGAGAGCAAAATCTAAGACCTACTGCGTTCTGTTGGTTGACACAGAACTTGGCATTGTGTATTTTTATTAATTGTATCAATTTTACTTAATCAGTCCTTAAAAATTACTGCTATTTCCTTGTCCTTGATTGACTTTTGCCTAAGCATTTGGTGACTAAGTATACAGGGTCTTTTTTTTTTTTTTTTTTTCTTTAATATTCCAACAGGAATTTCTGTGAAAGTTACAAGGTTTCTCATCTTTATATGTGGACTGAATAAATCACTGTTGTGATACATCTGCAGAGCATGATTATTCCAGAAATTTCGTGCCAGATTAGTAGTTGCTCCTTATTGTATGACCATACCCAGAGGAAAATATTTGGAAATATTAGCTCTTTTAGTACTGTGCTTTTGAAAAGGGCTGATTTTTGAAAAGTAGAGTTGCAAAAGACATGACTGTGCTTATTTCTGACATAAACCCATCAGTAAGGAGAATGGTTTTACATTAATGTTAGAGATCCATATTTATAGGCTTTCAGTTTATGCATAACTAGGCTTATGCATCAAAAACCACAAAATGTTAAATACCAGATTAGCCAACAACATACATAGATGGATTAATTTTGTTTCTTGGTGGGATTTCTCTTGTAATTGTAAAACAGTGCATATGCTTCTGTGAGCATCCCTGGCAGGCTGCATGCTACTGTTTCATACAGAAGAATTCTACTGTTGTGTCCAGAAAAGTGTCTGATCCTCTGTGTTGTAAACACAAAGTAGCAGTGTATATCAAAATAAGCCAGGCTGAATGCAGTATTAAACTGTGCTGTTGTCAGAGGTCCTCGTTAGCATCAATGCTTTGGTTTCTTTTATCTCAACTGTATTATGCCAAAGAATCATAATGTAAAAATGGCATATTTAGTAAATGTAATTTGGGTATGGTACATTCCTATAATTTTCTTATTTCAATGGATTTAGTGTACAAAAAATCAAGCCTCCATATTATCTCCCGTTACTTACTTGACTTGTGTTCATAGGTTGTATGCAACCTTAAGAAGGAGAGACCTTTTACTGTCAAAGTCTAATCACTCTGATTATACTGAATGTGTGGTAGTACTGTGGTATATAGGTTGAATTACAGCATATCTGTAAACACAGCATTTAGTGTATTTTCTTCTGGATTATTAGATCCATGAGTAGGAGGCGTCCCAAATCAGTAACTTCTTATCACAGCTACTATCTCTTTTGCTATCTGAATGTAATTAAAATGCTGTAGTTTGCCTACGCTGTTCTAAATTCTAATCCACTTAAAGGAAGAAAAATGGCAGCTTTAGCCATAGTATCTCACCAAGATTCAGACTCCCACTTTGCTAAGTCACACCCACTTACCTAACTGGCTTTAAAAAATACTTCAACTGGTTTCTTTTGTGAGCGCATGACCCTTCAAAATTAGAATGAAAAGTTTAATGGCCTAAATACAGTGCAGTCCTATTTGAAAAGCCTGATTTATCTTCTGTGGTTCTTTTTTTATATACTAGTATTTCCTTGTTATGCCCTTGGTATTTCATAGCTGTCCTTTTCAAGCACTGAAGCAATTAGTTTTGAGAAGGCTGATTCTTCAGGGTCCAGTGCTTTCCTGCCTTTCATTTGCTGAAGCTGTACATTTTAATGAAGTTGTTTCATCTGTGTTGCCAAACACTAGAATTTTGCTGCTTCAATTCTAATTATCTCTGCTGGCAAATGCTATGTTTTATTAAAGCTGTCAAGTGCACTGTTCATTAAATGTCCACAGTCTGTGACACTGTGCACACAAATTAGATCAGCTTTACTCCTTGATAGATTGTGACGAAGTTAAGTATTTTTATAAAAACCTCTAAAATAGACTCTAACAGCAATCAGTGATGACTTGGATAAGTAAAGCATACCTGTGGCTTCTTGAAACCTAGTATCTTGTCAAAAACCACCTATGATACATACGTTAAAACTCTAGTAGCGCAGCTGGGTATAATATTTGTAGGATTATTTTATTCATCAACAGAGCATTTTCCTTCTTTGAGAAACCTACGTTATATCTTGAATTCTAGTTTTTATGAGTTTAGGGTAAGATAAGTTTTGTTATCTGTTGATATAAGTAAAAGAATCAGGGCTAGTTTTTCAGTGGAGGGTTGTATAGTATATTTGATCATTAAAAGCAAAGATGGCTTCATTTTAATGTTACTAGCCTGGTGAAAGCAAAAGATTGCTATTGTAAACAACTACCAGCTTGTCTTGTAATTGCATATCCCAAAAGGGAATTTCACTAGAAGATGTTTACTTCAAATATCTGGGGCAGTAACAGAAATATTATACTTGGAAAGAAAATATTAGTCAGTTATCATTTTGGCACTTCTGGAATTTTTTATTATCTTCAAAAACACAAATAGTCTTACTATTTAATGTATTGTTTTCTAAATGTTCTTTAGAAGACTTAATGAGATATTATGATGACAGACCACCAGATAAATAAGTTGTTGATCTTTTGAAAAAATGTCTTTCTCACCCTTTAACTATCTGTAGGAAATAATTTCAAATTTATTTTTAGAACCATGGCTCTATGGTATGTCTTTTCTGTATTGGCTACCCTGTCTTTTGAAGAATGTAGTGTTTATACTTTCCAGCGCTGCTTATAAATTTATCAGGCTGTATGATAAACCTTCAGTGGAACAGATAGTTATTGTACTCTTTGTAGAAATAGTAAATGACATAACAAAGCACTATCTAAAGTAAACAGAATTTGTGGGGTCTTGGATATAAACCCTTTTTTAAGGTTTCATAGGAAACTACAGTCCTTCAAAAGACTGTGAGACACTTTTCCTTGTGTCTCCTCTTTATGATCCACTTTCAAGAGCTTTAGTACAAGTAGAAAATTCACACAGGATGAAGTTGAAGAGGAGGCTGCGTATGTTTATATATTGCTTGATCTGTTAATGTGTTATTCCTTATCATGTATATTTCATGGTATTTACAGGGAAGAATAGCATTTAGTTTTATTTTTTGAATGCAGAAGCAGAAATTATTGTTCTCATAGCAGCCGTCTGAGCATCTGCCTGTCAAAACCTTCCCTTCAGTAGTTAAATGTTTAAAGAAAAACATTTGTCCTTCACATAACATTACCCTGTATACCACTGTAACAGAGGACTCTCCAAAGTGGCATTGAAGATGCATTTCATAGTTTCTTTAATTGTATCAGACTAGTCAAGAAATAAAATTCAGGAGTGTCTCACTAGAGAATTTCTTGCAACCCGTTATGTGATGTTTCCAGGCAGGGATTGAAATAGTGTGGCTTATCCTAAATGCAGTCCTGATGACTTATTCCTGTCCCCAAAAGTGGCTTATAAACTAGAGCTAGCACTCTGAGTGCCATTCATACATTGACTTGAACTGAATTCTTGGAAGAATAATAAAATATGTTCTTGTGATTGCTGCTGGCTAACAGTCAAGCAGTCTTGTCGTGCAAGACAAGACGCTATGGTATTTAGATGGTCAATAAGATTATTCCAAAGAAGGATAGACTGCTCCTGTTGTTTTCAGGCATGCATCTGAGTCAGAGTGTCATAAAAACCTCAGCAAAGAGATGTAGAAAATAAACTGTTCCTCTCTATCATTGCTCATCTCCTAAAACAACTTTGAGAGTGTTCCTTTGACTATATTCAAGGGCTGAAGTAATTTTTCTCATCTGAAATACTTAACCTAACTTCAGGCATAATCTATTTTCTTATTCTACTTAAAATTTAACTTTTTTCAAAGGCCTGCTGTCATACAGGAGATGGATCAGAATAGATGGCCTGTTCTGTGGCAGTGAAGAAACTGAGTGGTCAGTGTATTGAGAAATGTGATGGGAAAGGGAAGCATGGAAGTCATATAGGTGCATGTGAAAAGTCTACAATATGTGAAACATGACAGTTTTTTCTTTTTTCTTAATATTGTTATTTTTGCTTTGGATATATGTTCCTATTTGGCTGAAGAACTGGTCAAGATATTTCCTGAACCATCTAGGGACATTTGAAATGTATACAGGTTAATATTTATATCTAGACTCAGATTTGGAATAGCTTCTTCTATTTTGGCTTCTTGGAAGTTACCTGAGTTATTACTGTCACTAGTGTAAATAAGTGTTTTTATCGCACTACTTTATCCACCCATATCAGGTTGAGTGTTGTCTACAAGAGAGGAAAATCAATTTCTTTCTAAACCCTTACACCTTACCTTTATCAGTATAGTCTCAGAAAAAATTTGGAAAACCACAAAAGCAGTCATCAAGTTTAAGAAAGGCATCATAAGAGTGATGCAATTTGAGATAGAAATAGGACTTTAATGTGCATGTGAAATTAGTTTTATACTTCCAAAAGTATGTAAACAAAACCAACAAATTTATTTTAAGACTTAAATGTGTGTTATAAAGCTGAAAGTGAAAAGAACAATGAAAGAAATGCCGCACAAAGGGAAATATTCCTGGTTCTGAATGTGTAGAGATGACATTGATAAATTCTAGGCCATTTCTAAAAGACCTAAGATTTTAAACCTAACTAGGAACTCTTACAGTTCAAAGGAACATGGAAAAAAAATTGGTCCAAGATTTTCCATTTGGCCCCCCACTCAGATATTTGGCAGTTTTTCCAGTATTTTAAATGTTGAACTATAAGAGATTTAGAGAGTATTGCTTTTGTGTTACTATATTTTTGGAAGGAAATAGTCTTGTAACCTTGCAAAGGAAAAACAGATTATTTTTCTTTTGGGTTTTTTCTGTTGTTTTTACAGGAACACCAAGACAGTATCCTCGGGAATACAATGCAAACTGCAATTGCCTTACTGAATAACATGGTTGCTAGCAAAAGCACAAACATGAGGTTACTCTTGGAAGAAGGTATGTCTTTTATTGTTAGTTATTCTCTTTACTATATATGTTTCCCAGTCTGTTGTAATGCCTGAAACTGCATGAAACTGCACACTTTTGTGTATTTATGTTCTATAGAGGTTGTTAGATAATAGCGTTGTAACTGATTAGTGCTACCTATCACTTCATCTACCTCCCTTCCTGATTCTATTATGAATTAAATTTTTAGAAAAGCAGGAAAATGTGGTTACAAAAGAATTCCTGACTGAAAGGTATGCTAAGTCTGTGAAGAATGGCTTTGGAAAAGGCTGCATTAGAGCTCTGACCATAACAGTGCAGAGTGCAGGCAGAGAGAGTCTCTACATGTTTTTGCTTTTGTCAGTGCTCAGACCTGTGAAATAATTTGTACCATACTTCTGCACTTTAAAAAAAAATTAGCTTCTGTTCCAGTCCAGTGATACAGACTAATGGATTGGAGCCCAAACTGACGAGGGAGTCTTAGTATACAAACAATTCCATGCCTTCATTTCACTATATTTTATTATTGAAGCTCCTTTTGTCTAGAACTTGGTTCTGATTTACAAAATGAAGCATTAAATTTCTGCTGTTGGAAATCTATATAAATTTAAAACTTGTTCAGAAATATACACATTGATTTCATTACTTTCTTTGATCTGTAATGAGTAAATGACATCCAGCAAAATAGATCTACACTTGTACCTGTACTATTTGTAGAGAATAAATCAAAGATGTAGACTACTGGCATAGCAGCATGTAGCATACTCCAGAAGGAAAAGGAAGAAATTTTCATATAGAGAGACAGAGTAAAGAGACAGATAAGTCTCTTTTGAAACCAAGAGCTAAGAAAAAAGCTTCAAAATCTCTAGGAAAATGTTGGGTAAGATGTGAGGGGGAAACTTCATCAGAGCATAGCTTTTCTGTGGTAATCACACCAGAGGAAAAACCAGATGAGACATAGTATGTCTAATGGTTGAAGTATAGACATTGATGAGGTTGCAGACATTTGAAGAATTGGATCTATCTTAGATATATGTTATTTAAAAAAAAAAACAAAAAACAAAAACAAACCACAACTAAATAACAACAACAAAAAAAGCCCAAACAGAACGCATACCTGCCTAAAGCTCCATCAAGATTTGCAGGAGTGGTTATGCCTTCATTTTCATAATTACCTTAGCGTTCACTCAGAAAGTGGTATTCTGAGTTAAAGGTTTTTTACTCTGAGGAGACTGAGACCTGAGTTAAAGGTTTTTTACTCTGAGGAGACTGACTGGACAATGTTATCATTCAGGAGATGAACTGGAACTTGACGAAGGTAATAATGTGCTTTTCTCCTCTGTTTGAAATAGATCCACCCTGAAGTTAGTGGTGTGAGAATAGGGCCAGAAGAAGAGGAAAATAATACTGAATTGGAGAGGGATGGTTCATAGGATTCTGACTCATTGTTTATTTCTTAGAAAACTACCTGTCACACTTGGAATTTCTTGGGGTTTAGATGCAAGTGCTGCTTTTACTGTCTTGAGGCACATTTGCTTTATGTTGAGCAAAATCCTAAACTGGCACTGACCTGAGTGGCAACAGAATAACTTGTTAAAAGTACTGCAACAGGATAGTTTGTTAAAACTACACAATGACAGGCAAAGACGTTAGCTTGAGCCCCACAAGCACTATAACCACGTTATTGGTATGCCTTACTTGAAGTAATATACATAAAAAGCTCTGCCTTTCTGCACGGCAAATTAGGTGCTAAACTATTTAACAACATGGCAAAACTGCATTCATTCTCTCAATATCTCCTCTTTATTATCTCACAGAGCAAACTCCCATGTACCTTTTATGCTGCTGGTAGTAAATCAGTGTTGTTTCATTTCTCATCTGCTCCAAAAATAAAATGCATCTCTTTTTTCATGCTATTTTCCAAATTAAAGGAATGAGATAGAAACATTATAGAAGTCTTTTATATTTTGCTTGTGCTAGGTCATAAATTACTCCAATAATATTTTCAGAGTATTAGTGATTGGATAACACTAATTTTAGCTCACTGAACTTCAGCATCCTGACTAGGAAAAAGCAGCACAGCAGCCAAAAGTAATCTATCTGAAAAAAAAAAAGGTCCCTATATTCTCTCCTCCTTTTTCCCCATTGATTAATCTTAAGAGGACTGGAAACTATTGATTAGGTGCCTAATTGTTCAGTGAGGAACTTCTGAAATTTGATTTGCAAGAATGTTGTGTAGATACTGATCTTGTAATTGTGGACTGTAAGATTTTCTTTGAGTGAAAAAGGGAGAAAAGTTATTCCATACAAACTGGAGGGCTTTTTATCCTTTTCATTACCAACTGTAAATATGCAGTGTTCCCTACAAGAAAATACCTTAAATTTGGTCTGCCACTCTCTTTGATGTTCAGCTTTGTTATTTTTAAATTATTTTTGTATGATAGAGAAGGGCATGATCTAGTAAAATGTTCACTAAGCTCCCTCTTGCAGAAAAGGATCCTGGAGTCCAAACGGAAAAGTTGAACATGAGTCTGCAGTGTGTACTTGCAGCAATAAAGGCAAATCAGGGCAACCATATGAAAGAATAATTGGAAGATTGAGGAAAGTGATTATTCTCCTCTATTTGGCACTTGTGAGAATGCATCTGGAATTCTGTGTCCAGTTTCGGGCTCTAAGCTAAAAGAAAGACAATGAGAGACAGGAGCAAGTCCAGAGCAGGGCAACCACAGCTTTTAAGAGGGTGGCCCACATGGTGTGCATTTCCAGCCTTTTTCTGCGCTGTTACATGAAGTAATTCCTTCCCAGTTGCAGAACTCTTAAAGTTTAAGAGGTTTCTGGCAGCCTGTTTCTTGAGCTCAACTCTTTATCACATCAGCCACTTGCTGCATTTCAATGTCATCTTCAAATTCGCTGAAGGTGCATGTTATTCTGTCCTATTAACACTCTATGTCCAGGCTGTTAATGAAGGCATTCAACATTCATGAGCTATTCTGCTGTCTTTTAAAAGGTGCTGATGACAGCATATTATGGGCCATCAATTTCCCTTATTTCCCCATTACAGTGTGATAATTAATTCATGTATATATGAAGCTTAAGAAATTAAAAACTTTAAATACTTGCTAAATATTATGAGGAACTCAGGTAGGGGGATGGTCCTGTGAAGGGTTTTGGTTTTCCAAGAGGCCAGATGTTAGCAATGAGGAGTTCTTTCCAATTCTGTGTATGCCTTTCCTGAGCTGCCAAGAAGCAGTATTTTTGCAGACAGATCATCTGGGGACCCTCGTCAGTGTTTCCTTCTATGCCTCTTAGCCTTCAGAACTTTCTTCTGCTCAAAAGGGTTATATTAGGTGACAGATTTTATTTTTAATGGGTTGCAGCTTACATGTTGAACTTGCCCCTTTCTCAAGGAAATTGCATGATGGCACTTGCCTCATTACTACTTCTGTGATTTCCTGTTAATTACAATGATACGGTTGTGCATTTCAGCAACTTGCCTACAGAGTGGATTGCCTAGTATTAATTTCTCTCTCCCCTGAACTGTGTCCTTTTGTGTGACAATACATCAAACATTTAATGATAACCACTTGTAATGTTTAAAGGTGAAATGTAGAATAACATATGCAACTAGAGTCACAGAGGGAATTTTAAATGGCCTCTGCTGTGTTATCAGCTATTAAACATTTGTTCTGTTAACATTAATAACAATATTCACTTAATAATCAGAGGGGAATAATATAATTTCATTTAATTATTGAGACTGGAATTCAGCAAGGAGACTGGGATTAACATATGGTCTTTAGTGAAAAGTTAAGGTGAGATGCTAAGAAGCCAAGGCAGTAGTGATATTTTTAGCATGTGAAACATACTCTCTCATCTTCTGCCTGTCAGTCTTCTTCTTTCCTCCCTTTCATCATCTTTTGAAATCATTGAACAAAAGCATAGAGGTCCAAATATCCAAAGTATGTAGTGGCTCTGTAATAATCAATAGCTGAGGGAAAGGAGAGAGATGGAAGTTATTGCTATATCTTAGAAACAGGATGGGCTTCTCAAGTACCTGTTCCTGGCTAATGTACAGAAAATAAAGTTGTGCAATACATGATGCATCAAACAAACAAGCAATAATATATATACTTTACAGAAAGCAAGGGAACTTAATACCTAAAGTTAAATAGGGGAGTAACCAGTGACAAAGATAGAAAGTTATTGCCATGGAGATAGGTAGAGTTATAGGATACAAGTCTGTAGGAAATGGGGTAGCGTTAGTTCTACTGGCCACGAAACAACCAGCTCTGTATTACTTTGTGCTTGTCATATTAAAAGGGTTAATGTTTGTTGACTATAAAATTAACACCCAGTTGTAAATGCTAGAATCATCAGCTCTTAAGCAGGTGTTGTAGGAGTACAGCAGGTGATAATCTGTTTCTGAGGTCATTAGGACAGTCTACTGGAAAGGCATAAAATCTGTGTTAGACAGGTTGTGTCTGTTGACAGGCATTGACATAATGACCAATGTAGGCATGAAATGAACCACAAAGTCAGGTTTGGCTGCTTGGTAAGTGAATTGTGTTAGTATGCAAGACTGCTTAATTAAGTGGAAAGTGATGAGTAGTAAATAACCAAGTGTATCACAGCACCTAATGTAGTAAAACAGTACTCCAGGACAACACACAGACATAGAAACTCTTATTTTGCTTTCATTTACCTTGTTTCCTTGTTTCTTTTCTTTCTGTGTCTCTGGGTTGGTTTATTTGTTTTACAGGTAGTTTGTGCAAATTAAAAATAGAAAGTGTTGTGCCAGCTTAATTGTCTGAAGTTAGTTCTTTCAAACGTTTTTGTCCTGTTTGTCCCTAAGTCATGTTCAAAGGCAAGAAAATGCTTCATTTTAACTGTTGCATCATCTGCATTTTGTCTTTAGGATGAGTTTGGACACAGTATATTAGAGTGTAGAGAAATGTGTTTCAAAGGCTTTAGCTACTTCCTCAGGATCCTCATTCTGAAGATCTGAATAAAGC